ATCCAGCTCTACACCTTGTTAGCTCAGATTCTCCAGCATCTGCAGTTCCTACTATCTCTGGAGTAAAGAAATAGTTTCTTGATTCATTTCACAGGATGAGGGTGTCGCTGGCTGGGCAGCATTTATTGACCATCCCTAATTGCCCAGAAAGCAGTTAAGAGTCAAGCACATTGCTGTGGGTCTGGAATCACATGTAGACCAGACCAGGTAAAGATGGGCAGTTTTCTTCCCTAAAAGGTATTAGTGAATCAAATGGGTTTTTCCTGATAATCAACAATGGATTCATAGTCATTGTTAAATTCTTAATTCCAGATATTTATTGAATTCAAATTCCACCATGGCAGGATTCGAACCTAGGTGCCCAGAACATTATCTGGGTTTCTGGATTAACAGTCCAGTGATAATACCACCAGGCCATTGCTTAGCATTTGAGCTTTACTTCAAAAGGCAGACTCTCTTTTCCTAATTGCTGGAGGTTTCAAGAGACCTTTTGAAATGCATTTGGAAATTTTCTGGGACACTTTGCCAAGACTCAACACTACTTACTCTGAAATTCGGTGAGGACTTTGACTAATCAAAAAAAAAAAGTGTTGTGTTAACCACCTCATAGGACTCATCAAGAGAAAGGCTGCCCAGGTAGGTTCCTTTCCTCAAATTGGTTGTGAATTCATTCATGAGACATGGATCATCACCGGCCAGGCTAGCATTCATTAGTTATCTCCAATTCCCATGGAAATGGTAATGTTAAATTGCCTTCTTCAACCACAGTAGTCCTTGGGGTGTTGTGATGTTATGAAGGCAGTTACAGGATTTTGACAGTGAAGGAGCAGGTATAGTTCCAAATCAGGATGATGCGCAACGTGGTGGGGAACTTGGTGGTGGTGTCCATATGCGTCAGCTGCCCTTGTCCTTCCAGATGGTAGGGGTTGCAAATTTGGAGGATGTTATTGAAGGAGCTTTGAGTGTTGCTGCAGTGCATCTTGTAGCCAACACACACTGCTGCCAGTGTGTTGGCGGTGAAGGAAGTAAATGGAAATTGACTTGTATAGATTGCTGTCCTAGACAGTGTCAAGCTTCTTAAGTGCTGTTGGAGCTGCACTCCTCTAGGGGGAAAAAAAAAGACAAAAATCACACTCCTGGCTTGGGTCATGGTGGACAGACACTGAGTACGGAGGTGATTACTCACTGCGAAATGTCTAGCCGTGGACCTGCTGTTGTAACCACATCAGCTACATGCTCTGGCCAGTTCAATTTCTGGTGAATAGTAACTGCAGGGTGTTGATAATGGAAGTTTCAGTGATGGTAGCGCCATTGAATGTCAAGGGGTGATAGTTGGATTCTCTTTTGCTGGAGATCATCATTGCCTGGCAATTCTGTGGCACAAAATGTTGCGTGCCACTTAGCAACCCAAACCAGAGTTATGGACACAAACTCCTCAATGAGGAGATGCAAACGGCGCTGAACACTGCATGATCAGTGAACTCCCAATTTGATCTTATGATGGAGGAATGTTTTTAATGAGGGAGAAGATCAACCTTCCCTCTAAGCTGTTATGCAAATGCTGGCAAGCTCCACTCATGCCAACTGGTGTGCTGACAATTAGCTTCTGCTTTCAGAAGCTATTGCTGTGCAGAGACCTTGGGAGGTCTACATAATATTTCTTTACAGAACTTTGCTGAAGGTCATGATGTGCAGGGGCTGGTGTTGGACTGGGGTGGACAAAGTCAGAAGTCACACAACACCAGGTTATAGTCCAACAGGTTTATTTGAAAACCACTTCACCTGACAAAGGAGTGATGGTCCAAAAGCTTGTGGTACAGCTCTTTTGTCCATGTTTGGAGCATCTGTAATGAGAACAAGTGCCAAAGGGCCTGGGAACCCAAACTGAGCATGTTATTCCTTTGAAAGTGTCATTTGACAGTGCTGACGACCCCTTCAATCACTTTGATGACGACTGAGAGCAGGCTGATTTGGTATTAGTTAGATTTGTTCTGCTTTTTGTGGGTAGTACATACCTGGGCAATTTTCCATATTACCAGAGCGGAACCATGGTGACGTCAGAGCCCAGCGGCATCAGTGACATCTGTGTTGAGGTCCAGCAAGGACTCAGTGGCAAGGGTGTCAGGGGAGGCAAGCTAGTGTCAAAGAGTGGCAACTTCTGTTCCAGTCACAGTAGTGCCAAGAAGGGGACTTGTGCCCAGCCACCAGGCCCATGGCAGAGCACTTAACAACAAGGGCTGTAAAATTAAGCACTTTGTTTTTCTGCCTTCATATTCTAAGTTTTGGCTTATTTTTGTGTGTTTTAAGATGGTGCCAGAGTGGTGACATTATACAACACTTTCACAGTATTTTGTAACAAATAAAATCTATCAAATCGTAAGTCAGTGCTGTAGCTGTACTGGAAAAATTTATCCTCATTTTAAGATTTGAAAATTAGTATGACCTAAAAACTGATCAGGCAGGCTAACAGATACACTGCTTAGACTGCAGAGATTTTAAAAAGTAAAAGCGGCTGCTCTTTTAACAGGCTTTGCAGGACAGAACTCCAAAGTCACAGTCTGTGCAGATATAGAAATACTTACTTTTGTAACAGGCTGTCCAGCTGGTATTAAAGGAGTGTGTGTAGTGGCTGACAATGAAGGTATTCGTGACTGAGGTGGTAGTACAACCATTGGTTTCTGACTTCCAGCTACAGTTGTGGGTGGACATAATTTTGACTGTCCAGTTGAGGACACCGCTGGCACTATAACAAGAACAACAATATTCACAGACAGTCCAAGTTTTCAACATTAAATGACTCACCTAAAAGCTAGATTAGTTCAGTGCACACAGAGAAAGTGTAACCAGGATTATCCCTAAGAAAATGATAAAATGGCAATTGGAACAAGATAATTTAGACATAATTGTTTATATATTTGTGTAGTTGAGTTTACATGCGTACAAATATTTGAATTGATACAGGTATAAGCTCCAAAAGTCAGGAAATATCAATTTGCTCAGAACACATACAATTTGGGATACCTTGTTAAAAATTAAGAAAGTTTGAGTATGAGACACTAATTATGGAGTGACTTATGACAGTAGAACTATCAAAGCTCGGTGAGAAAGTGTAGTTAAGAATAGATTACTGCATATCATGGAAGGCTATATAAATACACGGAGGTAGAAAATGGTTAAAAGGGTAATACTGACAAAGAGGAGATAAATTAAAGGTTGGACGAAACTTGTGAGAAACAGTAACAGGTATACACCAGTTAGGTCAATCGTGTTTTTATGCTGTATATTCTATATACTTTTCAGCAGAAATGGTCAAGAGAAGATTTAATGCAAGATTACTTAAGACCATAAAGAAATAGGAACAAGAATAGGCCATTCAGCTCTTCAAGCTTGCTTCACCATTCAAAATAATCACGGCTGATGCGACATTCCTCACATCCTATTTCTTGCTCTTTCCCCGTAACCCTAGATTCTTGATCAGTAGGGGAAATCGATCTCAGCCTTAAAATATATACAAGGACTCTGCTCCCAAAGACTTTCAACCCTCAAAAGAAATTCCTCATCTCCATCTTAAATTGGCGCTCCTTTATTCCGAGAACGTGCTCTCTGGTCCTGGGCTCACCTATGAGGGGTACATCCTCTCAGCATTTACCCTGTCAAGCCCCTTAATTCTTTATGTTTCAATGAGATCATCTCTCATTCTTCTAAACTCCAGAAGAAAGTCCCCAACCAGTTTTTTTTGGCTCAGAAGACAATCCCTCCATACCAGGGATCATTCTGGTGAACCTTCTCTGAACTACCTCCAATGAAATAATAAGTTTTCTTAAAAAAAAAGGGGACCAACACTGTCCACATTACTCTAGATATGGTCTGACTACCACCTTGTACAGTTGCAGTGGGTCTTCCTGACTCTTATACTCCAACCCCCTTGAAATAAGGGTGAACATTCATTAGCTTTCCTGATTACCTGCTGCACCTATGTGCTGGCTTCCTGTGTTTCATGCACAAGTACCTCCAAATCCCATTGTATTGTAGCTCTTCAGGTTTTTCTCTATTTAAATAATATTCTGTTATTTTGTTCTCCTTCCAAAATGAACAACTTCTTACTTTCCCACATCATACTCCATTTGCCAACTTCTTGCCCATTTACTTAACCTATCAATATCTCTCTGAACTGTTTGTATCCACCCTTGAAACTTGCCTTTTCACCTAATTATGAAGTAGTTCAATACAATGAGCAGACACAGATTATTCGGAGTCAGTTTTACAGCATGGAAGAAAGGCCCATCGGGTCCACACTGCTCCTCAAATTATGTCTACTCTAGCCCCATTTTCCAACACTTGGCCCATAGCCTTATCAGTGACAGGGAACCAAGAATTTTGAAGTTACCAAGAAAGCAGAAAGAAAAGTTCGGGGAACATAAAAAAAAAATTGCAGCTCCTGCTTCATCAGTTAATAAAGGTCATAGCTGATCCTCAGCTCAACCATGCTTTATCATTCAAAACTCATTGCCAAAATCCAAAAATATATTGAATCTATTAAATTCCAAGATCAATGATTGAGCCCCCATAGCCCTCTGGATACAGAATTTTTAAACTTTATGAACCTCTAAGTGAAGAAATTTCTCATCACATTATGCAGTGATAGCGCCAGGATAAAGGGGATGATTGCCATTAGTTCTAGAGTCCACAGATAGGAGGAACCACCTCAGCACGAACTCTGTGCCCCTTAAACATTTTACATGGTTCAATAAGATCACCTCACATTTTTATACATGATTATAGACTATGTCGCTTCGCAGTCTACTTTCTCATCCCAGGAATCAATCTAACAAAACCACATGTAGCTCCTCCAAGGGGAGTAAATTCTTCCTTGGATGTGCACATTATACTTCAGGCATGGTCTTACCGAATCCTGTAAAAATACAGCAGGACTTCCTTACTTTTGCACTTCCAACCTCCTTTCAAAAATGGCCAACAAAATACTTGCCTTCTGAACGCTTGCTGCTTCTGTGTTAATTTTGTGTTTCTTGTACAAAGTTAACCAACTTCCTCTGAACATTAACATTTAATAGCTTTTCACCATTTAAAAAAGTAAACTGCTGGACGTAAACCCGAAACGTCAACTTTCCTGCTCCTCTGATGCTGCATGACCTGCTATGTTCCTCCAGCTCCACACTGTATTGACTGATTTCAGCATCTGCAATTTTTGCTATCTCCGACTAACTGTTTTCATTTCTTTCTAAAGTGAATATATATTTCCCATATCATGCCCTGTCAAAGTCTTGCCATTACTTAACTCATCTATACCCTCTTGGAATTCCCAAGTATTTCTTGATCATCATCAGCTCACATGTACACATATTACATCCCTCCTCTATCTGTCATGATATGGGGGAAGGCCACTCTCAGGGATGGTGAATCTCTGGAATTCTCTGCCCTAGAGACCTAGTAGTTAAGTAAATTCCAGACAGTGATTGATAGATTTCAATAATGTACATGGTGTGAAAGATTACAGGGACTGTACAGAAAAATGGTGTTGAAGTCCAAGGGCAGCTTCAATCCTCTTGAATGATAGAGCCTGCTCTAAGGGCTGAGTTGTCTTCTCCTGCTCTTATTTCTAATATTGTAGAGACTGTCAGCACCAGTCCCTTGAGACACACCATTAGTAACAGCCTGACAATCTTAATTTGTTCCTCCTCTTTTTAGTACGTTAACCAATTATTAATTGCTCTTAATCTATCTTCGATCTCATGAGCCCTTATCGAATGGAATAACTTTCCACATGGTACCTTGCCAAATGCCTTTTGAAAAGCCAAACGAACATTCATTGATGCCTCTATCAAATTTAATTGATGTGAGAAACTATACTCCATAAAAATACTGTTTTTGCCTGATCATGATTTTTAAACAACTTGTCACCATTTCCCTCCTGCTGACGTCAGTTTAACTGGTGTGTAACATTCTTGTTTTTCCCGGTTTTCTCGTCCTCAATTACACTAAGGGTATACAACTGCTATCTTCCAAACCACTGGAAACCACATTATGATCTTCCAAAATTGCCAAGATTCTGCAATCAGCATATCCAATACCCTTAACTATCTCATTTAGAACCCAGGGATGAAGCCAGTCAGATCTAGGGTATTTGTCAGCTTTTAGATCATTTCATGTTTGCATTGCATTTTCTTTACTCATATTAGGGCACAAAGCACCTCACTTTCAGTTTAGTGGCTCATCTTGTGAAGACAGGAAATACTTGTTTAACCTCTGCCACTTTCTCATTCCCTATAGTTCTCCTATTTCAGCCTCTAAGAGAACCCATGTTTACTTTTGTTTTTATTACTTCTCTTTTCTTATATATCAGTTCAAAGCTTCTCTACAGATAGCTATTGCAAAATGAAAAGGTACTCTATAATGCAACACGTTCAGAGTGGTTGTTAACATTGTGCCTTTCCTGGAAAATTGGAAAAGGTGTCAATGGACAATAATGGAAAAATTTTGGAGCAATGAAACCTGTTTCATATTACTCTTAACATTGAACTGACTTGGATGGATTGAATAGCATCTTTCCAGGGGTAAAGGTCAATGTTTCCAAAACAGTTAAGGTTCGTAATGTTCTGAAACTAAAACAAAACCACAGGTGAAGTAAAGAACAAAGTGGCTGGATGGTGGCAAGCCTGAAAGGTGGTATAACCCCTAAAGTTGAAGGAACAGCACATCGACATCAGTGACAATTATGATTTCAAGTGCATCAGCCACAGTAACTATTTCTACAAGTACAGGAATTGATAAGTCAAGGATCACTAGAAGAATAAAAGCAGAAGCACTTATAAGAAGCATTAGAATATGAACTCCCCATGGTTAGGGCAAAATAACATTATTAAAAAGGCAATTTTCATAGGAAATTGGAGCAGAATTACATAGCTCTTCTTGGCTCATTTCAATGACAAATTTTATGACTCCATAAATGCAATATAAAACCATTTTTAAGATGTTGAGTCACAAATTAGAAGAACCTCATCATATACATAATGAAGCACAGCACAAATGTTACAATAAATACCAACTAAAATTCTGTATACTTTCTTTCAAGGAATCAAAATAGAAAATATTTGAATTTCCTCTGTCAAGCCAAGTTTTCACAATCCTTTCTACCAATTTTAAAAAATTGTGCTAAAAAAGCAGCCACAAAATTAGCCGTGTTCCAGTACCATCTCCAATCAAGCCTTCAAGGAGGCTGTCAAAATAAAACTACCTTTTCTTTAAGCAATGGAAGAAAAAAATTCTCTCATCCCAAATCAAAATAAAAATCATTACATGAACTTCCATAAGTGTTATGCAACAGAATTTAAAGTTTTGAACTAACAGGATAGTACAGTGGTTGAGTGACAGGAAACAGTTTATGGCTGTTTTTCAGATTAAGGATGGATTTCTAAGAGAATCCCCTAGGAGTCTGTGATAGCACTCCCACTCGGATGCATCATAACGCATTGACGCTGGGCGTAGAAAGCACAATTTCAAAAAAAATCTGCAGACAATACAAAACCTAGAAGTATTATGAACTGTGCTGAAGATAGCATGTAGAATCTGAAAAGGATGGACAGACCGATTAACTGGATGCAGAGAAGTGTGAAGTACAACACATGGAGACAGCATAAAATGAAGGGCACAATTCTAAAACGGGGTGCAGGAGCGGAGGGACCAAGAATCATGTAAAATTATTCATCCTTTCCTATCAGGTTGAGAATACAATAAATGAAGGCCTGAATGCCATCTGTTTTAAAAATCTATCTTTCCAGGCACTATTCTTTAGTTAAGATGACAAGGCATTAGATTTCAGCAGTGAAATGAGCAACTTCAATATGTGGATCAATTGTCCTTGGAGGACAGAAAGTCAAGAGGATGATAGAGGCATTCAGAATCGTGAAGAGCCTGAACTGACTCAATAGGGAGAAACTGTTCCCTTTGGTGGAGGGACCAAAAAATGGGGCACATGAATTTGGCAAGAGGCAATGATGACAAGGTAAAAATCTTTTACACCCCAAGGTGGTTGGATCTGGAACACTGCCCTTATGTGGTGGAGGCAGGTTCAATTCAAGAGGATATCGGAGTATCATTTGGAAAAAAAATGAACATTGGGACTACAGGAGGGGAGGAGTGGTGCTAAATGGATTTGTCTTTCAGAATAGACATGCGGCATCGAAAGGACTCCTTCTGTGCTGTAACCATTTTAACTCCTCTCTCCATACAGGCACTATGGAGATGCAGGCAAATGTAGTCCCAAGGCACTTTACAGGAGTGTAATCAAATAAATTGGTGCTGAGCCATATAAGGGCACATTACAAGCTTGTTTAAAGAGGTTGCTTTCAAAGACCATCTTACGAGCAAAATGAAACAGTCGCAGAAATGTTGGAGTGGAGGAGTGAATTTCAGAACTTACGCTGTGAAAACTGCAAGCATGGCTATCAATTTATTTAAAGTCAGCATTATTGCCATTCCCCAAGGGCCCTTGAGAATGTGGTGATAAGCTGTCTTCTTAAACCACTACAGTCCATGTAGCGTAGGTATACCCATAGTGCCATTGGGGAGGGTGTTCCAGGATAGTGATCTCGTGACACTGAAAGAACAGCGATATATTTCCAAGTCAAGATGGTGACTGGCATGGAGGGGAATTTGCAGGTGGCGGAATTCCCATATATCAAATGCCCTTGATGCAAGAGGTTATGATCATCCAGCCAGATACTTCCATATCCCATGAATGAATTAAAAGAAAATTTCAGAAAGATGGGAAAGTGGTCAGGTATGCATTAAGATAGTCATGTCTAGAAATAACAATGGCATGGATGAGGATTTCAGCAGCAGATGAGTGGCAGGCAGTCAGGTAATGCAACAGAACCAGGCAGGCTTACTGTTACATAGTTAAAATACTAACTAAGGGTCAATTACAGCACCAAGGTTGCAAGCATGTCTTGTTCCACCTCTAAAACTGCAAAAGAGTGACTAGCAAATTGTTTGTGATTTAGTCCTATTCAAAACAAAGCTTCTTAGTGATCCTTTCATTTTCTGGATCCAAATCAAAGCCTCTCTTATTTCCAAGTTGATACCTCCACACATTTCAAGAACAGACCCCATGAACTCACTCCTCCATTCCAGTTGGGAGAGGTGCTCTTCCAGTTTCAAACTGAAGCAAAGCACTCAGGTTTAGGGCAGAAGATGGAGGATGATTTCTGCCTCACCATCCCAGACACCTTAAGTGGCATGTTATAAAAAAAGGAGGCAAAGTATACTTTTCAATTGATTACCTGATCCTTTCCTTCCTTTGCCATTCCCTCCTCTTTTGTTAGCCACAGGAAGTTCTATTTCCTCTTGTGGCATTTGTGACACCTTCTGTAGAAAAAGCTTCTCCAATGTTTGTGCCATTACAACTATGTCATCCCCTGGCTATAAACAGACACTAGTTATATCTTTTATCAACATAAAATAAGAAGCATTTAACAGTTATAAAAGCTGTAACAACATACCCGATTATATACATAGCAGTTAGTAAACATTGTATTTATGTCCTCTATACACTCCATAGCTTTACAGTAATATCTATTTTCCAAGCGTTTTTTGATGGTACCCAAATCCATTGGGTTCTTTGTAATCTGATAATAATCCTGTAAGGGGGAGGGGGGAGAAAAGAAAACAGGCTGAGCAGCAGCATGCATTTATTCTTTTTCTTCCAAATAGTTCATGACCTTAATTGCAAAAATTATGTTCCAGTTTTAATTACTTTTAAATTGATTGATCAATCTAACAGCACTACTTTTTAAAAATGAATTTTAATAAAACAAAATCTGCATTCCTTTATTATCTCAGATACAAGTTAGCAAATAAACATACTTCTGTTCCCAAGTCTTGATACATAGTATCGATTGTTTTGGAATAAAATTTAGACTTTAGTTGAATGGAAATATTTGTGAAAAATACAATGACGTTGGATAAATAGAATGCAATATCCACAGATCAGAAGAGAAATCAATTTGGCATCTCAAGAAGAATGTGACAAAAAAGGAGTAGGATGAATTTTAATACAGATAGAAAGTTGACTATTTGAAAACAAATACTTTTGAGCATTGCTTACATTTCACATGGGCTGGAAGCAATTTGGCTGGAATTACATTTGTACTTGGTATACAGCAATGATTTTGACTTTAATACTATGAAGTGCAATCTTAAAACCTACTCTGACAGGATGAGAAACAAGGTTCTACCAAAAGAATCTGAACAGTTCAGAGCGAAAGTAAAAAGCAGAACCTCCAAGATAGTAATCCAAAGATTACTATCTGAGCCCTGGAGTCCCACAAACAGGTAAATAAAGTTGAGGAGATAAACACATGGCTCAAAGATTGAAGTGGATGGAATGGGTTTCAGTTCATGGGTCACTGGCACCAGCACTGGGGTTGAAGGGATTTTTTTTTGGGTGGGGGGGGGGGGGGGGGTGAGGGTGGAAAGTGGATGGTGGATGAGCTTAACATGAAGCACACTGGGATCAGAGTCCTGGTGAATTCAGTAACCAGGGCTGACAGGGCTTTAAAAATAACTAGTTTGGTGTGGAGGGGGTGGCAGGCGGAGGAAAGGGAAAATATAGACTTACAAAGCAAAATGATATGACAGTATTACATGGTAACTATTTGGATAACAATATCCAGAGGCATGAGAGAGAGTGCAAGAGAGTGATGGGAAGGGACAAAAATTTATAAAACAAAATAGAAAATGACAGTGAAAAGCATTAAAAGCAACAAAATGAAATGGTCTATATTTGAACAGAGAATATTTGAAACAAACTAAATTCATGAAAAAGGAACAAAAAAAGATGTTGATGGACATGATCTTCAACAGACATGATAACAAGGAGATCAAAGCTGGGAATTAAATACTCAGGGTGCATGCCTTTTCGAAAAGGACAGGCAGAAGGAAAGCGGTTGAGGTAACTTTGTTAGTACTGAATGGAGTAAGTATAAAAGTAAGAAATGAACTTGGATCAGAAGGTTTAGCATCCACATAGGCCGTGATTTTAAAATAAAACAAGGGCAAGCATACTGGTAGTAGTCGTCTATTGGCCCCTTAACAGTAGGTCAGAGAATAGCAAGTCAGGAGGAGATGATGAGAGCATGTAAGTAAAGCAGCACTTTAATAATTATGGGTGATCTTAATCTTCATGCAGATTGGTAGTGGGTGCCATGAGGAGGGATTAATAGTGTATTTGGGGTTATCTCCTGGAGCAAGGTGAGTACATCCAACGAGGAATCAGGTTATTTTGGATCCGATAATGTGTAATGAGGTAGATTTAATAAAAGATGTCAGGGTAGAAGACCTCCCCCCACCAGAAAAAATGACCATACATGGTAGAATTTAACATTTGATTTTAAGAGGGAGAAACTGGAGTTGGAAACAACTGTGCCGAAGCTAACTAAAGAGGTAATTACTAAAGAACAAGGCCCATGTCAGCTCCAACAGACTGGAAAAGGAGCTTAGCGGAGAAGACAATAGAGGAATGATGGAATGGATGTTTAAGAAAGTAGTTCATAGCTCACAACATCGATATATCCTAGTCAGAAGTACGCGTTTAGGGAGGGGATAAGCCAATCCCTGGCTAACCAGGAAAGTCGAGGACAGCAAAGTGAAAGAAAACAAAATTTGCAATGTCAAGAAAGAAAGTGGTAAACAAGAGGATTTGGAAAACTTAATAAAGCAAAATAAAAAGAGGGACAAGTTAACAATCTGTTATTGGGAAAATAGTAGAGTCTATTATAAAGGATGCAATATCACAGCATTTAGGAATACATGACAATAAAATCAAGCAGAGCCAGCAAGGCTTCAATGAAGGGGAGATCATGCCTGAAATTTCATACAATTGCTTGACAAGGTAACAAGAAGGACAGTGGATATGACGTTTTGGATTTCCAGGTGGTATTTGATAAGGTACCACACACTAAGCTACTTAAGATAGAAGCATATGGTGTTGTATACAGAATAATGGCATGAATCAAGGAATGTGTAACTAATATAAATCAGAGTTGGGATATGGGGGGTATTTTCAAGACAGAAATTTGTAACTAGTAGGAGCACCACTGGGACCACATTATTTACATGATATATCAATGACTTGGAGGAGGAAAGCAATGGACTCTCACCAAACCTGCATCTCGCAACAATAGGTGGGAAAGTAAATGGGTCTACAGAGGGATCTAGGCTGGTTAAGTGAGTAGACAAAAATATGGCAGATGGAATATAAATGTGGGAAATTGAGACATTGGCATGATTATTTATTATAAATATTTAAATAGAGAGAGATTACAGAAAGCTACATCCTAGAGATTTGGGAGTCTTCGTGCATAAATCATAAAAAGCTGGCTTACAAGTTTAGCAGATAATAAAAGCGGCAAATGGAATGTTCACATTTATTGTCAAGGGAATGGAGTTAACAAATAGGAAAGTCTAGAACTATACAGGGCACTAATTAGACCACAGCTGAAATACTGAACAATTTTGGGCCCCTTATCTAAAGGAGAGATATACTTGCATTGGAGACATCCAGAGAAGGTTCACAAGGTAGTTCCTGGTTATTCGGGGGAGGAGGAGGAAGAGGAAGGAGGAAGGAGGAAGGAGGAAGGAGGAGGGAGGAGGAAGAGGAGGGAGAAGAATTGTCTTGACAGCAGGTAGTAAGTTTGTCTGTACTCATTAGAGGTGAAGAATGAGGGATAACCTTATTTGAAATACACAAGATTCTTACGGGATATTACAGAGCAGATGTGGAAAGTTTGTATCTCCTGGGAGAATCTAGGATTGCAGGGCACAATCTCCGAGTTAGTGGAGAGTTGAGGAGGAATGTCTTCTCAGTGGATCAGTGAATGTGTGAAATTTTTATCATAGAAGGCTTTGGAGACTGAATTGTTAAGTATATTCAAGGATGAGATAGACAGATGTTTAAATCAGTAAGGGAATCAACAGTTATGGGGAAAAGGCAGGGAGTGTAGTTGAGAATCATCAGATCAGCTACAAAGATTTTGAATGGTGCAGCAGACTCAGTGGGCAGAATGGCCTACTTTTCTTCCATTGCATGGTCTTGTGGAGGAGGTAGGGGTTTGCTGGCAAATAACTGGAAAATATTTGAAGAAATAAAGAGACGCAAGCGCCACTTCGTGTGGATACAGTGAAGGATTACACTACACAACGAAGAAAAGAGGACAGATTCAACAGAAAGAGAAATAAGTGGAAGTCAGGACTCAAATTCCATAAAGTATAAATATAGGCAGAGAAAGACAAAAGTGGCCAACAGCTATTGGGATTTTTAAGATGATTTTTTAACTACAAAAAAAAGTAAACCAGTTGTGACTTTGTTCACAACGTCGTTGAACTATAGAAAATTTCTATATTGATTTTGGTATCTCACAATAATCCAGAGATCTAAACATATAAATCAAGGAATGTAAATTCAAAAACCTTGTTTAAGAATTTATAATGCAGTTTTTAGAAGAAAACATCAAAAGTAGAAAATTGGTATCAGTTGTAAATTGACAATGCAATTATCAGATTGCCAAAATTCCAATTGATCCACTTATCTCCTTATTGAAAAGAAAACTCACCTGTTCTTACCTTAATCACCACTGAAGCAATTCAAAGAAGGCCCACTAACTTCTCAGAAAAGTTAGAAACCAGTAATGGATGTCCTTGCCATCAGGCAAAAAAAAAGATTTTTCTAGCTCACTTACCGATGACAATGACATTTAAGATAACAACTCTTCTCTTGCCAGCTAAGAAACAACTTCAATGGTAACACACGCTGGAACACTAATTTTAAGTTACTTAAGCAAAAAGGATATGAGTGTATATAGATATGAAGTCAAATGGGGTCATTCATGCTGCAAATGTTTAGAGTTCCATTTCTAATTGTCTGCCCTTTGTCAAAATTAGAAGAACATTACAGTGAACAGCCAGATTTTGAATGTCTGCCCTCATCATGTTACAAAAAAATTGACTACCTCTCTTCAGAAAAAAAATACTCCATCTCACAGGTGTCCAAAAGCTGACAATCTGAATAACAAAATAACCAAGAGGCACAAGCCAGATTAGTATAGCTGAAATCAAGCATCCAAATGCAAGGTTATGCATCATAACATATTAAATTTTCAATTACTGCCTTTTTACTTATGTCTTACAGTATGGATATTTCTTAAGGGGTTGGGCTCCAACTCCATACTGTCTTTATAAAATTTGCTCCCTGTTGTAATTCATCAATTGTTGCAGCTAAAAGATATGGCAATATAACTCAATAAAGCACTGTTCTAATCAGGCATAATTATAATTCTTACAGGCAAGTTCAGCTTCACAGCATCAACAGGTTGTTGGAATGGCCATGCAAAATGGTGCTTCCAAAGAGCTTTAACCACCACTTTTTCCAAATACTGCAGCTGATTTGTCATGCAGCTAGGTTTGTTTGGGTTACGATATTCTGGTGGCTGAGGATTCACAATCACATTTTTCTGCTGGGATCTTTTATCCCCAGTCGATGTCATTTCAACTCAAAATTTCTTGCACTCAGCCAATAGAATTTTTATTTAAAAAAAAAAAAAAAAAAAAAAAAAAAAACAACTTTTCTTTCAATGTTCTTGACAGACCATTAATCCATCACGCTTCCGTACCAGAATAATGATAGGATCTGTTGGAAAAAATAACTTTAGAAAACATTGCTTTTTTACTCAAATTTATATCATATATTTTTTAGTTCTGTTTTTAAAGAATTCAGAATACATCCTTTTTAAGAAAATACCACCCGTGGATGAAGAAACCCAAAAAGATTCCATTTATGCTTATGAAAATTCTGAGATAAACGCAAGTGAGCTATCTTAGTATTGTCCCATCTTGGTGAGTAGAGGTTATGCCACAATTTTCAAAGTGAAATTTTAAAAGGGCCGAAAAGGACAGATTGAAATAGATTAATGATGAATATAGCTAGAAGTAAATCAGCTCCATTCAAAAACACAATAGAAAAAGACCACCATTCAGTGCAGACATATATAATATCAGAATAAGCAACATGACAGATCATTTCCCTTTGCTCACCAGTTACATTCAAAATAAATGAGTCTAGCAGTTGAGTTTTAAAAAAGGGTAATGTGATCAAGTCTCACAAGGTATTTAGTGTCTTCCAGTGATAAAACAGAAAATACGAGAGGCAGGCAGATTTCTACTCCCTGCTAGCAAGTTAATTTTCTAGCCATGCCAATGTTACCCCTGACACCGTGAGCTATTATTTTCCATAATAACATTTGATGTGGCGACCGAAGGAATAGCAATATATTTCCAAGTCAGGGCAGTGAATGGTTTGAAGAGGAACTTGCAGGTGGTGATGTTCCCATGTATCGGATGTCCTTGTCCCTCTAGATGGAAATGGGCGTGCATTTGGAAGGCACAGTCGAAGGACCTTTAGGAAATTTCTGCAGAGCATCTTGTAGATCGTACACATTGTTGCTACTGAACATCAGTGGTGGAAAGAGTGAATGTTTGTGGATGTGGTGCCAATCAAGCAAGCTGCTTTGTCCTGGATGGTGTCAAGCTTCGAGTGTTGTTAGAGATACACCCACCCAGGCAAGTGGGGAGTATTCCATCACACTCCTGACTTGCACCTTATAGGTGATGGACAAGCTCTAGGGGGTGAGAAGGCAAGCTACATGTCACAGTATTTCTAGCTTCAGACCTGCTCTTGTGGCATGTTTACGTGTTTGCAACAAGAGTTGCACCTCTGGTTAATCACAACCGCAGAGATGTTGATAGTGGGGAATTCAGAGATGGTAACACAATTAATGTCAAGGGGCAGAGGTCAGATTATTTCTTATTGGACATGGTCATTGCCTGGCATTTGTGTAGCACAAATGTTACTTGCTAAGTGTCAGCCCAAGCCTGGATATTGTCCAGATCCTGTTGCATCTGAACACAGATCATAGAATCCCTACAGTGTGGAACCAGGCCCTTTGACCCAACAAGTCCACACCGAACTTGAGCATCCCACCCAGACCCATCCCCATGTAACCCACATAATCTACACATCCCTGAACACTATGGGCAATTTAGCATGGCCAATCCACCTAGCCTGCAAATCTTTGGACTGTGGGAGAAAACCGGAGCACACGGAGAAAACCCACTCAGGCAACATGCAACCTCCACACAATTGCCCGAAGGTGGAATCGAACCCGGGTCCCTGGCACTGTGAGGCAGCAGTGTGAGCCACTGTGCCACCACAGTTTCAGTTTCTGAGTGGTGGCAAATGGTGCTGAATATTTGCAACCTTTGGTGAACAATCCCTTCTTCTAACCTTATGATGGAGGGAAGGTCATTGATAAAGCAGTTGAAGATGGTTAGGCCGCCCATACTACCCTGAAGAACTCCTGCAGGGATATCTTAGATCTGAGATGACTGACCTCCAACAACCATAACCATCTTCCTACGTGCCAAGTGAGACTCCAACCAAAGAGTTTGTCCCCGATACCTACCGATTCCAGTTGTGCCAGGGCCCCCTAATTCCACATTTGGTCAAATGCAGCCTTGATGTCAAGAGCTGTCACTCTTACCTCACCTCTGGGAGTTAGCTCATTTTTATTCATATTTGGAATCAAAGCTCCAATAAGGTCAGGGGCTGAGTGGCCCTGGCGGAACATAAACTGGACATCACTGAGGTAGTTATTGCTGAGCAGGTGCAGCTTGATAGGTGTCGTCAACAGTGCTATCACTTTACTAATGATCGAGAGTAAACTAATGGGGTGATAATTGGTCAGATTGGATTTGCCTCGCCTTTGTGTACAGGACATACCTGGAATGTGTGGGTTGTCTTATTAAGAAAGGTTGGGCAGGCTAGGCCTCTAATTTCCTGGAGTTTAGATGAAGTGACTTGTTAAAAGAATGTGCTGAAGGGTCTTGACAGGATATGATAGGAGGTAGTCATTTCCTTTTCTGCAATTATGTAGAGCTAGAGGTTGAAAACTAAAGGGTCACCTATTTAAAACAGAAATATGAGGTAAAATTATTTCGAAAGGGTTGATTATCTCCTGAAACCATCCTGAAAAAAGTGGATGAAGGGGTGTCTAAAGGAGTGAAAGGTCATCAGGCAAGGGGCAGGAATGTGGAATTGAGGTTACATTTCGGTTTGCAGTCAGTAGTATTGGAGTTAGAGATAGTTTAAAAAAAAATCTTCCCATTAGCTGACATTAAAAGGACTAGAGGAGAGACAATTAAGACTTTGGGCGAGACAAGCAAGGGAAATGACAGAAGGGAACTTTTCTAAAAAAAAAAGTGAGTGAAGATGGCCATGAGGGTGGTGGAGCAGAAACAGTGACTTCAGAAGGAAAGAGAATTGGCAATTGAAAGAAATAACCATGTAGGGCTACATAGATTGAGAAGAGGAAGAATGTCGGGCTTGCTCTATGAGGAGTCAGCATGGACTGAAAAGCACAGCCAAATAGCCTCCTTCTAAAGATGTAAATGACTGCACACAATATCTAGGCCATTGACAATGTACTATGGCAGTTGGCGAGTGTGTGGTGCAGGGGAATTCTCACAACTGGGTGGATATAGAAATTGGACAGGATGAAAATAAAGAGGTGGCACATAAAAGGAAGTCAAAGCTCAAAGCAGAAATGTTACTTGGCCCCCAAGGGCTGCATGTTAGGTTATGGAGGCAAGGGTGGAGACAATAAATTCCTGCCACAATTCTTCAATCCTGCAAAACAGTGACGACATGTTTGGAGATTTTCAAATGTTATAATTTCTAGTCAATATAACCATTCATGATTGAACTGATCAGCCTATAGTCATAACAGAAAACATCAAGAAACCATAAACAGTGACAAAATGAATTTGGAAAGGAAATTAGTGGTTGAATTGGAAAAGTATACAATGGTATTCCCAAAGGGTTATTAAGTCTTTATGACATATTAATGACCTCAATTTAGCAGGGAAAAAAAAAATCAGAGCTTGTAGACAAGAGAACCTAGAAACGTAGCTAACAGTAAGGAAGATGGCAACAGACTTCAGGAAGTCAGATAGATTGGTGAGAAATGCACAAAAATAGCAGATGATGTACTGCAAAGAAGGGTTTTCTTTTCTTTATTCGTTAGCGGTTTGAGGGCATTGCTGACCAGGCAGCATTTATTGCCCATCCCTAATTGCCCACAGGGCAGTTCAGAGTCAACTACATTGCTGTGGGTCTGCAGTCACGTGTAGGACTGATCAGGTAAGGCTGGCAGTTTCCTTCCCTAAAGGACATTAGGTGAACCAGATGGGGTTTTCCAATAACTGAAAATGGGTTCGTAGTTATTTTTAGATTCTTAATTCCAGATATTTTGTTCAATTCAAATTCCACCATCTGCCATGGTGGGATTCGAACCCGGGTCCCTGGAATGTTATCTAGGGATCTGGATTAACTGTCCATCGATAATACCACTAGGTTATTGCCGAAGTGTGAAGCGACATGTCTCAGAAGAAAAGATGAAAGGAAGGCAATGTCAAAAAAAAAAAATCACAGTCCAACAGGTTTATGTGAAAACTCCAGCTTTCAAAGTGATGCTCCTTCCTCAGATGTAGGGATGGAGGAGGAATCTAGACACAGAATTTAAGTAAAAGATCAAAAGATCATACAACTGATGTGAATGTATTCGATAAACTTAAAAATGGCTGGCTGACTCCCTCCTGTTCAATCTTTAATCAGTTACAAAGGAGATGCCGGTTTCGACTGATTAAAATGCAAATCCCAGAATTTCTTTCAAGTCGCTGACCCAGGATAAATAAAAGGTGTTATCAGCGTATAACAAAGGTGACATCTGAGGTCTGAAAATGCATTTTAGGTGCGAGTCCTCGTTTAGAATCTGTGTTTAACCTGGAGACAGGCTGGTTTTACTTCCAAAGCAGGAATTTATAATTTGTCCTATTGACTGATTGTGTCTATAAATTGTGTGCTTTTTGAAAATAGAATGTGTCTGCATTAACTAACGCACCCCACGGATAAGAGAGAGAGCGCATGCGGGACACAGCGCACCTGCGTGCGCGCGCGGGTGAGGGTAAGAGAAGAGAGAGACTGTGATCTTGGGTTCACGACAGGTGACCACACCAACCCCCCACCACACACAGACACACCCTCTCAAGCACACTCACACAGAAATCTATGGATTGAATTTGCAGATACATTCTATTTTGTTCAAAAAACACACAAATTTGTAGACAGTCAATGGGGCATTTTACAAATTCCTGCTTTGAAATCAAAACCAGTGTGACTCCAGGTTAAAACACAGACCTATTCTAAACAAGGCCTCACACCTTAAAAAAAAGGCAAAGGCATTCTCTGACCTGAGATGTCATCTTTTGTATACACTGATAACACTTTTACCTATCTTGGGGCAGTGACTTGAAAGAAATTCTGAATTCTGAAACCTGCAACTCCTTTCTAACTGATTAAAAATTGAACAGGAGGGAGTCAGCCAGCCAGTTTAGGCTTATTCACTACATTTACATCAGTTGTATGATATTTTACTTATAAATTCTGTGTCTTGATA